TATATATCTCCAACTCATATTAAATTTCCACCTAAAGAGCCAGGCATGGTGGCACATACCTTTAATTTCAGTATACTGGAGGCAGAGGCAGGTGGATCTCTGAGATCAAGGCCAGCCTGGTTTACATAAGGAGTTCTAAGCCAGCTGGGGCTATAGGGAGACCTTGTCTCAAAAAAAAAATTTTTTTTTTTTTCACACAAAAAACTTACTCATGTTGACATGGAGCTTTTGTCAATACTTGAATAGTATTTGTGTACTTCTCTATACAGCTTTTAAAAGAAAAATCTAGGGACTGGTGATTGTGTAGTCAGTACAGTGGTTGCTTTACAAGTATGAGGACCTGAGTTTGAGTCCCAGAACCATGTAAACATGCTGTGCATGGTGGTATGTGCTTGTAATCCTGCTACAGGGGAGGTGGAGACAGGAGGATCCCCAGGGCTCACTGGAAGGCCCGGATATCCTAAACAGTGAGCTCTAGACCAATGAGACACCCTGTCTCAAGGAAGATAGTGTTCCTGAGGATGACACTGCAGCTTTCTCCTTGCCTCCTTGCACACATACACCCATGCCTCCATATGAATATGCACATACACCCACACACATTAAAGAAGAAACAACTAACTTTAATAAAGGTAAATTCAAAAATGTTACTCCTCTTTGGATAACCGTTAAAACCTAGATATACATCAGCAGCAGTTACAGTACTTAGAAGTCCTTGGATTAAAGGCTAAAATCACAGTCTAAAAAACTAAGAGGAGGAATTTATGGCCAGACATTCATCTGTAGAAAATTTGAACAGAACTTTATGTAGATGATGGTGTTTATCTCTGCCTCAGCTATACTAATTAGCATCCCATTTTCCAGGAATTAAGTACCCAGCCTTCACTCCTGTGTAACAATAAAGAAAAAAATACATAACCAGCCCTACAGTGGGATGAGTGTGTATTTTAAGACTAATCATAAGATATGTGATTTCATAATATATTTGCTTTTTAAAGACTCTAGTACTGAGTCAGTTAGTTGAAAATAATGACTTTTTACTCAATAACTAGAAATACACTGGAAATTAAAAATAAATGGCATTCCTTTTTAGAATAAATAATTTTGTTCAGTTTTTGTGCATGTTTTTAGTTTGACAGCTTTGAATTTTAATTTTTCCTATGGGATTTTATGATTTGATCAATAATTATTAATTTGATGGAAATGAACTTTGCTGCACACAAATTATGCACTTTGTCATTTAAGAAATAATTATTTAAGATTAATTGGCTTTAAATTGTTATTAAGCAGACAGCATCCATGTTTCAAGCCATGGAGTTATATTCCAGATGGAATCATGCCAATTTTCTGGAGGGTAGTTTATTGGACATCACAGTTTTTAACATGGTAAGTGGCAATGAATCATGGTTGCATTTCTAAAAAAATTGGCTAAAGTAAAAACAAAAGTGGTTACTTTTCAGTGAAACTTCATAATTTACATTTATTTATGTGTCCCTTTTTTACTGGCTCAAAGCTCTCCTGTCTTTTAAAAAAAGGAAAGAAAAAGAAAAAGGAAGAACAAAACAGACAACAATAGAAAACAGAAATAAATTTTTTTCTTGTCACGGTTTCCTTCTCTGTTCTTTTCTTTTGACCTTCAACTAGTCCTCTAGCTCCGTTATTACATGAAATTGCTATGAAAAGGTCACCATTATCTCTTGGTTTTCCTTCTAATCTGTTTACTTTTACCTTCTGATTTCCTTCACAAATCCCTTTATTTCTGTGACCTGTTTCCTAAATGTTGGTCTTCCCTTGAGACTTATGTTTAGTCATCTTGTCTGACTGTCACACATAACTTTAATTATAGTGGTGGTTTTATTGACCTGTGATATATTCCAAGTCTATTTCTTTACCCATTATAGTTTTGTCTTGTTCTGTGCTCCTCACTCACAATTACCTACTGCCTTCTGATCATCTCTTAGATACTCTGCAGGCAGTTAAGCTCTCAAACTGGATGTAGTCAACATTGCAGAGAAAAATCACACAACAAAATAGAGTAGTACCTGTAAGTTCATGTTATTAACCTTGACTGTACCTCCAAGTCTCCAGACGCTACTTTGTTTTATTTGTCTGCTTTCTCTTCACTCTGTACAATTTGTTTTTCGTGGTTTGTTTCTATTTCCCCCCAGAAGGTCATCTTTACTCTTGGCATATGACTTTATTTTATTCCTCATAGTGAAAATAGAAGTCATCACATAGCAGTTCTTATCTCATCAACAGACCTACCTATTCATCCATCCTTTCCTCCTTCCTCTTCAAGGAGAGAAGACTCATTCTTGTTGAGCTAGCCCTGCTTCCTAAAATATAAACTCATCCCCTTAAGTTCTTGTTTTCAACTTATAGTTTCCAGTTTTGACATCTTAATTTCTTCATCTTTTAAAATAAACACACAAACACACACACACAAATACATCTCTCAGCTACAAAGAGACATATTTAAAAAAAAAATCTCTTAGTTCAAATCCCCTTCTAGCCGCTACCCACTAATCTCATCACAACTAACTTTTGGGGGAGACTTTAAAAATTGAAGTATAAAATCTTACAAAAAATGTACGCATTATTTTAGTTCAAAGTGAATGCACCCAAATAGCCACAATCAGGTAATGAAAAAGGATGCCTTCAATGCCCCCAGATGCTTTCTTCTGCTCCCCTAGACATTCCCCATCCTTAAGGGCTATCATGATTTTTAATTCTATCACCATAGATTGATTTTGTCCTGCGTGTGAAATTTATAAACAGTTCTGCAGTAGCTTTCTCTTTTTAAATTTGTATTTGAATGATTTATCTGTACAATTTTGTGTATATCATTATTTTGTTTTTTTAATTTGTGTAAGACATTATATATATAGATAGATAATTTTCATATGATATCCAGCTAAGCTTCTTAAATAAACTATGTGCGTTTGATGTCCCCATTTGCTCATTATGCATTTATTCCTCAATCCATGGTAACTTTTCCTTTCTACACCCATGACTCCACTCACAAATACAGGTTCCTAATATACTTGACCTCTTGACTGCATTCAACTTTATTGTTTTCTCTTTCTACTTTCAAGTTCTTTCTTCTGGTTTCTCCCTCATCTACTCCTTGGTTTTCTTCCTTGCCCTTTTACTGTTTTGTCTTAGTCTCCTTCAGTGGATCTTCCTCCTCTTTCTGTACATTTCCTTGAAAGTTGTTATTTCTCAGAAGTCAGTCTAAGTTCACTCCTTTGCATTTGCTGTACTCACCACTCTAAATCTCATCTTTGAATGTTATTGCTATTGATGTACTCATGGCTCAAGAATCCATTTGTCTAGCCAAGCTGGCTAGCCAACTTTGTCTTTTGCTCTCTTGTGTTGTCTCCTACATCAACCTCAGCGGGTTGACAGCCAGTCTTCTCTTGTTTTTTATTACCACCACTACCCTTAGCCTTCCCGGATAGTTCTAATTTTGTTTGCTTTCAATCCATTATTCATGCTGAGGCCTTAGAAAAGTAGAAATGTGATGATGCTTCCTTTCAGTGAAAGAAAATAGTTCCCAGCTACACATGGTGATGTAGGCCTGTTAATCCCAGCATTTGGGAGGATGAAGCAGGAGGCTTGTGAGTATGAAGACAAGCCTGTGCTACATAGTAAGAGCCTGTATTCTTAAAAAGGTTTCCTCTTCGTTCTTTGGATGTAGTCCAAACTCTATAAAGGGATTATGCTGTTGTTTTAATTTTTGAAACAGGGTCTTACTGTGTTGCCCAAGCTGGCCTCAAACTCAGCAATTTTCCAGCCTTAGTAACCCAAGTGCTGGGATTACAGGTATGTACCACAACCCTGGCCTCTTCATGAAGGCTTAATGATGTATTTTTGGCCCTTTTAGAGTGATCTGAAGTCACTGGTGCTGTTGTGCTCTGCATGCCAGTGCAGCCTTCTTTGTTCCTTCGACTATACCTTGCTCTCTTCTGCTTTAGGACCTTTGTTTTTCCCCAAATTTAATATTAGTAAAATATTCAATCATTTATTATTGTTTATTCAGTACTAGCATACATTTACTCATATTTATTAGCCAGGAGAATTATACATTAAGACTTATGTACTTCTGATATTTTGATATTATACAGATACATAATTGTTTGAGTTTTTAATTATATATTTTCCATCCAACTAGGATTCTCTTACCTTTTATGCAGTCATATGCAAGGTCTGGAGGATTTTCCATCACTGGAAAGATAAAAACAGCTCTGATTGAGAATGCAATCTACTATGGTACTTATTTGCTAATTTTTGGAGCATTTCTAATTTATGTAGCTGTAAACCCACGTTTGCATTTAGAATGGTAAGAAACATTGTTTCTGTGTATGTTTGTACTATTTAAGATTGACCTTTATTGCATACATACAAGTAAACAGACATTTCATTAACTAACATACCAAATTATATGTCTTACAGATGCTCCTCCAGGAATATATGAATTGTATATATTACTAAGGAAGAAAATACGGAACAGTATCTTTAAATATATCTTAGGTGGTAGAATAGTATTTTGACTAATAACTATATGATAAACCTAATGTAATTTTTGGTAGAACTTCAAATTTTATAAATGACAAATATCTGGATTTCTTTTTCACTGGAACATATATATATATATATATAAATATTTTTTCCTTTTGCTTTGGTTATAGTTGAAGGAATAGTTGTCCTTTATATTATTTTAGATTTAGATATTTTAGTAAACAAATGTATTTTGTGCATATGATTTAAACATATGTCATCCCAAGCTGGAGCAATGGCTTAGCACCAGTTAAGAGTACTGGCTGCTCTTGTAGAGGACCTGGGTTTGATTCCCGGCACTAACATGACAGCTAAAAACTATCGGTGACTCCAGTACCAGGGGAATCCAATGCCTTCTTCTGACGTGTGCAGGCATTTTACAGCATGGGTACACTGACACACATACAGGCAATACACTCATACACATAAAATAAAAATAATATTTTAAAAAATGTCATCTGAAAATTTAGGAATAGAGTAATTGCATTAGGCCCCATTGTTATATCCTTGAAATTTGTTTTGGTCTTAACACAAGTTAATTTAACATGTTACAGGTGTCTCTTGGTTAATCTTGATTGAGAAAACACCTAGTAAAAAATGTTTTCTATTGGGGGAAAAAAAGTCATGAATTAGTCTGTATTTTAATTTGAACTATAATATAAGTAATGTTTCCAATATTGAAATCTGTTTTTATAGTCACACTCTATCTTTCCATTAAAATTTGCAGATTATCTGCTGTGACTGAAAGGAGTTGATATTTATATGAAATCCTTCTTTTCCTTTAGGATAGTTTTTTGAAAATGCATTTAATACTAATTAGTTTTATATTTTTAGAGAAAAATATACTTCTCAGAGCTGTCTTATATTTTCTTAGGAACCAACTTCAAACAATTGGGATAGCTGCTGCCAACACATGGGGTCTTTTTCTTCTTGTGTTACTATTGGGGTATGGCTTGGTGGAAATTCCTCGGTCATATTGGAATGGAGCCAAAAGGGGTTATCTGCTTATGAAGACTTACTTTAAGGCAGCCAAACTGATGACAGAGAAAGCAGATGCAGAAGAGAATTTGGAGGATGTTATGGAGGTAAGCAAGCTTAAACCTTACAAAATCAGTTATGATCTAATACTGTATCTTTGTGTTTGTTGACAATTCTCTTGACTACAAATGGCGCCATGTATGGTGTGTAAATGTTTGCACTAGTAAGTTTTGATAAATTTTAATTTCTTTGGTAAGTATTTTATGGTAGTAAATAATAAAACAGGCTATTGTCTACATATCTTTTAATTCGTTCATAACATCTAATTAAAATTTTGGGTATTTCTAGGCTAGGCAGTTCCTCTGAGTTTTATTAAATTGTCACAGATCGCAAAAAAATATGCATGGAAGTTGACCTGCACAGTTCAAACTCATGTTGTTCAAGGGTCAACTCTGTTCTTATACCTTTAAATGAGAGATTTAAAAATCTCTATTTTATAAATGAAAATGAAGCACAGAGAGTTTAAGTAGCTTTCTTATGCTTACATAGCTAATAAGGAGGATCAGAGAATCTAACTTGAGTTCATGCTTTAACAGGGACCAGGGAGCTTTTTAAATTACAAAGGATTAGTTGATAAATATTTGAGACTTCATTGCCACGTGGTCTTTGTTGTATGTACTTAACCATTGTAGTGTGAAAGCAACTATAGAATATACATAGTGAATGAAGTTATGCATGTATCCAGTATGAGAACAGGTAATAGACTGGATTGATTTGATTTGATGACCCCTATTCTTAACTATTATCGACTTCTCTTTTCTGTCTCTGAACAAGTTGTTACCAACGTACTTCATTTTCAAGTCTGAATATAAATTAGAATTCTTCAGGGAGGCCTTTTGCATCAGCACCATAGGGCTTCTATAATAACAGTGCCACAAATTGAATGTCTTAAATGGACTTACTATCTTGTAGTTCTGCAAGCTAAAAGTCTAAGAACAAGGTATCAGACTTGGTTTCTTCTGAGAGCCATAGGATAGTGTTTCATGCCCTTTTTCTAGTTTCTGGTCGTTTAGTAGCGATCTTTGCTCTTGCTTGCCTTGTAGATCTTTGCCTTCATCTTCACAGAGTATTCTGCCAATTCCTTTGTATGTATGAAAAATTCTACTTTTTATAAGGACACCGGTTACATGGGATTAGGTCCTACTACCACACTCCAGTCAAACCCCACCTTAATTTAGCTCATCACATCTGCAACCATTCTGAATCAAAATTAGATCTTGTTCTGAGATCCTGGGGATTAGGACTTCCAATGTGAACTTCTAGGTGATACAAGTTCACCCCATATTCCTTTCCTTGGTCCTTCTAACTTTAAGATACTCATTTTTTTTTTAGCCAAATGGATGAATGAACAAATGAATTTGCACCGTGATTAGGAATTTTTATTGTGTCTTTTATTTTATCACTTACTCTGTATAAAATGTAAGCGCTTATAGCAGCAAACATCAATTCAAAATGTAGGAGTAAATCACTTATAAATAACACTCTAGTACTTTTCCTCAGGCCTGTGATGAATGTTGAACATTTTTCAAAATAACATGTTTTATATTTAATTTTTATATTTAATTTGGTATATAACTTTAAACTTATGAAAAATTTTTAGATATTTGATAAAATATTTACATTTACTGAAAGATTATAATTTAAGTTTGGTAGCATTCCTGCAAAAGTTGGCATTAAATTAAGTTGTTGCAGATTTGAAGACTTTGGATGTTGCCAGTTCATTTGTCATTTCTTCAGCAAATACAAGTTAAATTTCTTTTTTGAGGCTTTGTTATAGTTGTTTTTCATTACTGGAGATTGAATTGAGTGCCTAATATATACTAGGTGTCTTATCACTGAGCTGTACCCTAGGCCTCTTTTACTTTTTATTTTGTTGAGAGAGAGTGACAGATTTCACTAAGTTGCCTAGGCTGTGAACTCACTTTGTGTTTATGATCCACATGTCTCAGGCCTTCTGAGTAGCTAAAATTACAGTCTTGCCCCACCAGGCCCAGCTCTTACTCGAGATCTTGATTTTGCATGGAGAAACCAAGGCTATCTGAATGAAATAGATGTTCTGTTATTAGATAGGAGCCCTTTACTTAGGAATAAGATAAGACATGCACAATTGAAAAAAAACTGGCATTTTATGCGTTCTGTGTTATTTAAGTATACTGTCATCAGTTTAAAGTGTTCTTTGTCCCTATCCCCGATGCCTTCTCTCCTCTCTCCCTTTTCTTTTTTGAGTCAGGGTCTCACCATGTCATTCTGTAGAACTGGCTGGTTTTGAACTTACGGTCTTCCCACTTTTACCTCCCTAGTGCTATGCCACAGGCCTGCGCACCACTCCTGGTATATTAATTATTAATATTATGTGTTATATATATTATATATTTATATCATATATAATATATAATTATATATAATTTGTTAATTAATATTAATATATTTAGCTGTCTAGACTAGAACATCATACATCCCCTTATGGTATGATTAAAAATACACAGGACCTGTTCTGCTATAAAGTGGCTTCACAAAATTTAAATAGAGATCAGAAATGATGAAATACGATCTGGGCTTTGTAGGATGGCTAGAATACTGATAGCTAACAGGATTCTGGTAAAAAACCAGGAAGTTTGAAAGGAAAATTAAAGTGGACATAATTTTATTTTTCGAAGATAAAGCCATGGTAACACCTTGAATGTCAAGTGGAAAAGTCCAGATTATATTTTGAAGGCAGTAAAAAAAAAGCTCATTAACACTGTCCTATTAGAGAAGAGACATGATCATATAGATGATTTAGGATAATTAGTCTGAGGGATAGCATGGAACAGAAATGTGAATATTTTAGTTTGAGAGAAAACTTAGCATGCACAGGTGGTGATTACATCTTTTAATAGAACACAAAATACAAATAGCTTTTCTTTAGTTACCATTTACTTAGTTATCCATATAATCCCCAAATGAACCTTTGTAAAAATCAGTTTATTTTAATAATTTTCATATCTCTAGAATATATGCACCCATGTGTCTGTTACTTTTCTTTGACATATTAATAAAACTTTTAAGCAATTTAAAGCCATCCAAATGTATTTGCTAGATGGCATACATTTTTTCATTTTTATAGGAACAGAATTTTGGGGATGAAGAAAGAGCTATGTACTTTGACATAAACCTGCCTATTTGTTTGTTTTCAAGGATGTTGTTTCTAATTCTTATAAAAGGTCTGATCGGCTCAGAATGAAGGAAAACTTATTTTGTTTGAAGGAGACAAGCTAATACTTCAAATGCCCACACTTTAAAGATGAGCTTCTGAAGGCATCTTAAATTTATAACATAGCAACTATGAAAATTTGACTGTTTCAGTACTTGCTTTAATTTAATATGGTTAAATAGTTTGAAGGGAAAATATATGCTATTTCACATATATGGTCAGATTATGTACTTCATTTTCAAAGTAAGATGAATTTATACTAACTGCAAACTAAGGCAACTTGCGCCATAGAATACTGCGCCATAGAATAATAGCGTTTCAGAGTGACGTTTCGAAAACCCAGCTATGAGCTAGGCATGGTAACATATATGCTTGCAATCCCAGCACTGGGGAGGCGTAATTAGGAGGATCATTAGTTCAAGGCAGCCTGCACCATGTAGTAAGTTCTAGTCCAGCTTGAACTACGTAGGGAGAACTTGTCTCAAAAACCAAAAAAGTAAAATGAAGTAATATAAAATCTAAAGATAAAAACCCAAATCTAATTTTGCCAGTCTTGTGTTTGGGACTAACATATTAACCTCAAAATGGATTATTACTAAGGTTTCTGAGAGGTCTTTGATTTTCTTTATTCAGCCTGATCAAGTATTGGCCGGCCCTTTATTCTTTTTTCTGTCATTCTACTGTTCTCTTTAATTCAGCCTGGAGACCTTTGTTCTTGCTGTCCTTGCTCCTGTTTGGAATATTCATGTCCCTCCCTTTGGTTAACTGACTCCTACTTATTTTATTTTTATCTCACTTTAAATTATCAGTTTCTCAAAAACTTCCTAAATTAGATTATTCTCATTCAGAACATCCTGTAGTTTTATAGCAGTTCTATACTGTTTCTGTTTATCAATTTTCCTCATAAGCTAAGTCCCTTCATAGGAGCAGTGTCTGTTGGTATAGATTATTCAGATTATTCATGTATTAGATTTTGGTGGATACTGGTAAATTATTCTCTGAATAGATCACTTTTTTTACTGTGTATATGGTGCTAGTTTCTCTACAATCTTATTACGTGATATTAGTATATTATAATTTTGCAAGAAATTTTTTTTTGAAATTTGTAATTGTTTTTGCAAGCTTGAATGTTCTCTTAGATATTTTCAAGTGAATTCTATTTTGTATTCTCATTTTTTGTTTATTTAGAAGAGGTCTTTACATATTAAAATAGTGACTATTTGTCATAAATTGTAACTTTTTTTCATAATTTTGTCATATTGTTTCTCTGCTTCCAGTTCTGAATCCCTTAAAGCCATTCTCCAACCTGTACTCTATATGTTCTTTTAAAAATCTCATCAGTTCTCTACTCCTAGGCTGTGGCATGATTTTTTTTTCCTGCTTATAGGATAGTGATCTCAACTTTTGTTTCTATTTCATGAATGTTGTAGATTATTATGATTTCTAGGAAATACTAATTCCAAACATTCTGTTCTGCATGCGTGCGTGTGTGCGTGCGTGCATGCGTGTGTGTGTGTGTGTGCGTGTGTGTGTGTGTGTGTGTGTGTGCACACTATATTATTGTGGGTGTGCTTGATAGTTTTAGTGTCAACTTGACACACCTGGATTGAGGGAACCTCAATTGGGGAATTGTTTCCATTGGACTGGCCTGTGGTCATGTCTGTAGGGACATCTTGATTGTTGAGTGATGTGGGAGGGCCCAGCCCACTGTGGGTGGTGCCACCCCTGGTCCGGTGGGCCTATGTTGTATAAGAGCAGGTTGAGCAGGGGCCAGGGGAGCAAGCCAGTAAGCAGCATTCCTCCATGGCCTGTGCTCCAGCTCCTGCTTCCAGGTTTCTTCCCTGAGTTCCTGCC